ATGCTCTCAAGTCACAGGTTCTTCCAAATATTAAGAGTTCTTCAAAGTATGGAGGAGTTATGCTTTGGAGCAAACAGTACGACAATGGTTACAGCGCTTCCATTAAAGACAGCGTCTAGGTCTCTGCCTAGACACTTTCTGCTGCTAAAACAAAATAAGTTACCATGACTCATCAGTAGTTCCCCAACCTACTGGCCAGAGTTAAGTACATGCACTTACGATAATAAAACATCTTACTGTCTGTAATAATTTTTTAATCGAATAAAATATTACTCATACCATTATCATTATCTTATATAGTTTATATTCACTAAATTACGCTGGTGTTCGGTATTTCCATACTTTCACGCCTCTTTGCAAAGCGAAGTCAATCCGATATATTTCTGGCTCCAAATAAGTTGAAGAGTTCTGACTGAGTTCGTGAGCACTCCAATTTGCTCCGTGTAAACCTATTCCAGCTCAAACTACGATTTTCTCTGAGGTAGATTGATATATTGGACCAGCATTAATCTTGTCTTAAATAGGTCAACGGTACTAATTATGCCAAGCAAACCATTTTAGTGGGCACTCAGCCTTGTAATTGTCTTTTTTTTTTTTTTTGGTCAAGGGAAACTCTATTCATTAATAATGGGAAACATTACAAAATGAGAAAAACTCATTCCAAATGCAGCCCAAAACCAACAAATACAGCAGGCCCAAAGATACAAAACCAAAAAAGCAACAAAGCCCAGAAAACTTTAAACAAAAAACCCTAGATTTAGAACACAAGAGCAGCCGCCACCCAAAGCAAGCCAACACCACCACCAGCAGATCCACCACCACCAAGGAGAAGTAAACGATACCAAGGGGTACCAAAGAGGCCGACGGAAGATGGGGGTGAGGAAAACAAAACCCAAGGGGGGAGGAGGGCTTCACTTCCCTCCTACTTTCCCATGTGCAAGGCAATGATTTTCCATGCCAAGATTTATCCAACACGGGAAAGCAATTGATTTCCCATCCTCAAGTCTCCTTTCCCATAAACCAAACGGGACCTAATTGACTTCCACATGGACTAGCATCGATATGTATAGCTTTTGTATAGCCATCATTCTGAATGTCGAGAGAAGAGAGAGCTCTCACTAGAGAGCTCTCCTTTTTTTTTTTTTTTTTTTGTACAAAGTTAGACAAAAAAAAATAAAAAAGCCTTGTAATTGTCTAAACAAACAATTATCATTAATGTCAACTGAATCCATAAATTTGGAATCCCTCCATCCCAAATGGAGCCTCAGACCTTATTATAAAGGGAGGGCTTGATCAGTCTTGACAATAAGAGAAAGCATACAACGCCTTATTCTAGCAAGCATGGCTAGAAATTCCCAAACTCCCCTTCTCCTCCTTGTCCTTTCTGCACAACTGGTTCTAATCAGGCTCTGTCATGCCAGCGGCGTCGCCGTCTACTGGGGCCAAAACGGGAACGAAGGTACTCTAGCCGAAACCTGCGCCACCGGCAAGTACAAGTACGTGAATATAGCCTTCCTCAACAAATTTGGCAACGGCCAAACCCCCGAAATCAACCTTGCAGGCCACTGCAACCCTGCATCCAATGGTTGCACCATTGTCAGCAGTGGCATAACAAGTTGCCAAAGCCAAGGAGTCAAGGTGTTGCTGTCTTTAGGAGGTGGAATTGGTAACTACTCTCTAGCATCACCCGCAGATGCTAGAGCTGTAGCAGATTATCTGTGGCACAATTTCTTGAGTGGGAAGAAGTCAACTTCGCGTCCTTTAGGAGACGCCGTTTTGGACGGTATTGATTTTGACATAGAGCTTGGTTCAACTCAGTATTGGGATGTGCTTGCAAGAAGCCTCAAGGCATATAGCAAGCCAAGAAGAGCTGTGTATTTAGCAGGAGCACCTCAATGCCCATTTCCTGATAAGTTTCTAGGGGGTGCTCTGAATACAGGGCTCTTTGACTATGTTTGGGTTCAGTTCTATAACAATCCTCAATGTCAGTATAGCTCAGGTAACACTGATAACCTCATTAACTCGTGGAACAAATGGACCACGTCGATAAAGGCAGGGCTGATATTTTTGGGGTTGCCTGCGGCTCCCGAGGCAGCCGGAAGCGGGTTTATTCCGGCTATGGTGCTGAATTCTGAAGTCCTTCCGGTGATAAAGAAGTCACCAAAGTATGGTGGTGTGATGCTATGGTCCAAGTTCTATGATGATCAAAGTGGATACAGTTCTTCCATTATTGGAAATGTATGACTTTGTAGTTCCATGTTTTGTTTGGTAAAATCCAAAACGATAATAATGAATAAATTCTATTTGGCCAAATGAATGTTGTTTAATTTTGTTTACGAGGCTGACTCCCCCATCCCATCAACAACATTGACTTTTTGGGCATTGGTGTAATAAGGAATGTTTGACTTCCACCATAGTGACGTTAGTAATTTAAAAGTGCTTCATTCGTCCAATCCCAACCCAGCCATTATAAACAACCATCAAGATAACATTAAGAAACAGAGCATGATTATGGAACCCCTATTTTAAAATTGGGACGCCAAAGTTGGCAACTGTCTCACAAGCAATGCCAGCGTTGGTCAGCTACAAAAACGGTTGGCGACGGATATTATAAGGTGATCCGTTTTCTCAATCAAACTATCAAACAAATTGCATACATAAATTAGATAAATTACCCTAAATTAGATAAATTTAGAGTTGTTTCGATCGTAAAAAAAAAAAAAAAAAACCTAACAAATTAGACAGTTAAGTTAAACGATTCATTCCAACTGCCAAATTTATAATTTAACATCCACTCACTGTTCTGCTACGCCAAATTAATTCGAAGGGGGAAAATCGGAGTACAAAAAATAGCATATAAGACACGAAGGCATACATAAAAGAGGGGGAAAAACAAACCAAGAAACTATTGCGGCAATTCCGCTGAAGTACACCAGAAATGCTATAATGACTCGAAATTATCGTGGTGTAAAGGCAGATAACTAAGTTACGAGGCTCTCTTCCATCTCCATTGCATCTAAACTTTGCGCACTTGAATATTGTGAGTGGACTGGATCCGCCAAATGGGTTGTCTGCCACTCTGAACGAGTGCCACCTCTTCTCCTTCCTTTACCATGCCTTGCTTCTGTATATGAAACACCACAAACGATCAAATAATTAACATTAAATCCATTTGACAAGGGCTTTAAAATGGTTGGCATTGCTAGGTTGGCTCAAATCCAAAGCATTGACTGGTATGTTCCATGAAATTTTTTAAAGATAAATAACCAAAAATATGGTTCCTGCCAATTTAAATTATTCCTCGTAAATTTAGGAAATTCCAGCAAAGCATTACCTGCAGCACAGTCAAGGCATTGCTGAAACTTGTCTCAGCATCATCTGTGAACTCCATGTATATTGGACATACACCTTGATATAAAGCCAGTCTCTGTTGTATCCTCTTACTGCATGTCATCAAAGTACTAGATCAGCCAAATAATCAAATTCATATTCCTAATGGTAAAGAGTATTTTAACTGATACAGTTACAAATTTTAAAATATTTAATATATCAATGTGCATGCAAAAGAAGAACCCGCCCGGGGGGGGGGGGGGGGGGGGGTGGTGGTGTGTGTAAAAAATCTATCAAGGGTGAAGTTGTGCTCCAACAAAACTCTGGTCAGAGTATCACAAATATGCCTTTGTGACAAATAACATGAAAACTCACTCATTTGTAAAGGCAAATACGGTCCCAGAAGGCCGATAATGGCTCAAAAGAACAGCCATGAAACCAGTCCTGGTAAAGACAACAATTGAGGTACCAAGAGTATTGGACATAATGGTTGCATGGTAAGCAAACATCTCACTCATGTGGTTCTGCAGAAATAAAGAATTCAAGTCAGTTTTTATTCTGACAAACAAATGGAAAAATTTGTCCAGATGGTAGGATGCTGCGTACAAAAAATGAATAAATAATTGTATGTTCCCTGACCTTGAAAGCTTTACCAAGATTCGCTGGCAATTCACCACCTAAGATGGTTGCCTCTGTCCGAAGTGCAACAGTGTGCATAACTTTCACGGCCTTCAATGGGAACCTACATGGAAACGAAATCAATTTATTACATGATCCTATGGTCTAAATGACTAAACTATAGTTGAAAACAGGTTCCTATTGCATAATTCCGATAGCCACAACTTACTTTCCGTGAGCAGTTTCTCCTGAAAGCATGACTGCATCAGCGCCCTCTCTAACAGCAATGGCAATGTCTGAGACCTCAGCTCTGGTTGGTGTTGGGTGAACAATCATGCTTTCCAGCATATTTGTTGCCACAATAACAGCCTTCCCCATGCTACGGCAGATCCTGATTATCTCTTCCTACATTTTGAAATATAAATCGGGGGGTTCAGAATGTAATAGATTAACTCAACTTAATGTTACAATCATGTTAACTGGATTGAAATTTCAATTCTCATATGTTTGTCGTTAACAACCTGCAGAAGTGGAACCTCTTCAATAGGGAGCTCTGCACCAAGATCTCCTCTTGCAACCATAGCCTAAAAGAAGATAACCATGTGTTAGTATTATCAGGCAAGGTTAGAATGTTTTATGTATATATTAAAAGAAACGGATGGTATTTACATGATTTCCATATATTAGTTGCATTTTATATTTAAAAATGTGTATTAAAGGTAAAAATTATCATACATTAAATCATGATATACTAAAAGTTGTTTTTAACATGCAAATATCAGGAAAAAAGCTTCCATCATTGATTCAGGAGATTACCCCATCAGATGCTGTGATAATGGAGTGCAAATTTGGGATAGAGTCTGCACTTTCTATCTTTACAATAACGTGTATATCAGCGCCAGAGCCTGCAATATCAAATGGAAATACAATTATTTGTAAGCATTAAGCAAAAACGTGGTAATCAAATATATTTTGTGGACATAAGATAACAATATTTGGAATCTTACTTTGCAGATAATTCTTCAATTCATGAACAACTTGTGCATCTTTGACAAATGAAACAGCATAGAAGTCAACTTTATTATCCACTCCAAATTTAATATCTTCCCAGTCTTTCTCTGCAACAAATAAGTTAGACAACTATATTCATTAGCTAAACAGGCAATAAAGACATTTAAAAAAACATATGAATAAACTATTAATGGATATAATCAATAAATTAGGAACCTAACCAGTGATGGAAGGCAATGTTGCACTTTTCCCTCGCACATTCAAATGTCGACGAGACTTAAGCTCTCCTCCATCAACAACTTCACATTTCACTGATTCTTCTGTCTTGGACTTCACCAGAAATGACATCATACCACCTACAGCACAAATCAGGAGTCAGTGTGCATAAAAATATAAACATAACTTCAGTGGTTAACCCAAAAAAGAAAAAGTAAAAATTCAGCATACCATCAACCAGAAGCATGTCTCCTGGTTCTACATCATTAACGAAATCATCATAGTTCACGCTAACACTTTCCGCTGTGCCAACCCCTCTACGAATTGTAAAAGTAAATTCGTGACCACTTTCCAAGTTGATTGGCTGTGGCAGGTCACCACTCCTAACCTCAGGACCCTGATACAGAAGAACACATCATCAATAGAATGACTGCGATATAATCCAAATAGTAACACATCATATTTCAAATCAAACCTGAATTGGGGGGAAAATTTACTGACTTACGCAATACAATGTAATAACTTGATACGGAAGGAAAAAGAACAAACAATAAGGGAAACCTTGCCTTGGTATCAAGCATGATTGCAATAACATTGTCTTTAGATTGCTCATTATATTCTTTAACCAAGTCAATAACTTTCTTATGAGAAGCATGATCTCCGTGGGACATATTAAGCCGGGCAACATTCATTCCAGCCTCCGCCAACTTCCAGATCATTTCACGTGTGTTTGTGGAAGGACCAATTGTGCAAACAATCTTTGTCTTACGTTTGACTACTGGCTTTGACCACATACCCACCGATGTGTCATCATGTTGTTGAACTGCCCGGAACTTCTGAAATTGATCCTCTATCTGATCAGAAACACCAAATAAACTACAGTAAGCATAGATTCTAACTTGTATCTACAATTTCAACAAAAGCAGCCTCGCTCTACTCAAACAAGCTAAATATCTAGCAATCAATTATCTATCTACTATCAATTCAAAAACAAAAAAAATGTAACTTTTTCTTCTGATTTCCTACAACTTCTCGGCAACCAAACACATCAAGGACAAAGGGCAAAAAAAGAAGAAGATTGAGTAGCACGAACCTTGGGTGTGTCTTCAGGTGAGACGGGGACGACCTCTGTCTGTAGGGGTCGCTTTGCAGTGACCTCAAACCTCTTATTGCCAAACGCTTTCCAGCTCTTCTTCTTTTCCTCGCGAGCCAGAACTTTGGAAGCGAAGCTCGGAGGCTTCAGCTTCTCTGTCCGGCCCTGTACCGATCCAGAGCTAGGACAAAGGATCGAACTCTGAATCGCCCGCATAGCCACCACTTGAGCCATTGTTGTTGCAGAGAATGGTAGAGGTTTGGAAATGCGAAGTTTTGGAGGAGGCTGTAGTGAATTCCGAGGATTTAAACGAATGTGGGGGGAGGTTGTAGAAGTCGCCGCTAAATTTGGCGGAGGTTTTGAGGGGACATAAAGAAGAGAGTTAAGGAGGGCTTTGGTTGTATCGAATAAACGAAACGTAGCGCTTGCTAAGTAAAAGTTGCTCAACTTCTATCAAAGCGGAGAACTTTGTCGACAGTGAACGGGTGGGTCACGAGACCCATTGGTCTCATTACTCATGTTTGGGCCTCTGGAAAAAGTGGGCGTATTGGATTGGTTTGCAAATAAACCCTAAACTTAAATGTTTTTCATCATGTTGGCTGATTAGTTTTCATACCTCACTTGATGTTACTAATTCACTTAATGTGATATTTATTATATTATATTATACTAGCATTTTCGTACGCGCTTTCTCATTTGTTAGAGGCTTTTTTTAAAAAAAAAATTAATTTATTTTAGAATTAAAAAAGATAATGGGTAGCTGTGTTCCATAAAAATAAAATTCATTATTTGATTTTTCTTTTAATATGAAAAAGTGTGAAATTACCATATTATCTTCATTTAATTAATAATTTTAATTCTTGATATTTGGATTAACCAAGGACAATTTCTGATATTTTGAATGTTTCACAATTCTCTGCCTTTTGCTTTATATATATAAATTTTCTACAAATAAAAATGATGATTATATTTTTACCCAATACAAAATTGGTCCTAAACCCAACATTTTTTTAAATTTTTTTTGACAATATAATTTATTTTAAGTTAAGTTTGAATCAATATTTCAATTAGCCATAATGCATAGCAAATTTGATTTGAAAGTTGAGAGGTTTTTCTGTTTTTTTTTAAAAAGCTTTGGCTTTTTTCAAAAGAGAAATTTTTTTTATGGGTAAAACCTAAATTTACTATTTATTTTCTTAGAAGTGCAAATTGGATGAACCAACTCAATTTTACTGGGTATAATTGGATGAACTCACCCAATTAGTCATCGGGATAGACCTATTTCGGTGAAGTTTTGTGCAATGCAACGATGATAACAGATCAGCTCCACTAACAAACTGACACGTGTACAACTAAATTGCCACCTCAGCTAAAAAAGGCCACCAGGGCGCATTGAAGAGCGCGGGAAATTCACATCAAAATTCGCGCCACCAGAGCCATCACAATAAACCCTTTCACTGAGATCCGATCGCTCTCGCGCTAAATCCTTTTATTCGCCATCCTCTCCAGAAATCTAAACTATTGAACCCTAATTCAAAAACAATAAAGTCCGTCCGAAGATGGACTTGGAAGGCTTATCGGCGATATGCTCTGATCTTGGAATTGCAGAAGAGGATGACCATGGCAACCGGATCGGTTACTCAAAGAGCAAGTACTGCTTAGGTACGTACCTATGTCTTCGACAAATCTCCGTTTGACTGCCAAGAACATTTCGGAAATGGAAGGATAATGAAACATGAGGAAATCATATGGGCTCGATTGAGATTTCATTTGGTTTCTAGCAATTTTAAATTAGATTTCATTTAAGCCAATAGCTTTAGCTCAAATACACGAGGAAATCATATGGGCTCGATTGAGCGGATGAAAACAAAATATGGAGTGGGATGTTATTTTCTTCAGTTAAGTGTGGGCTTGAAATTTTGGTTTTCTTTTTTCATTGACAGATAATTTGAAAGATTTGCTAAGGTTTTTGAGGCGTGATGACCCACAGAATCGGGATGTTTTTAAACAAGTCTGTAAATGGAAGATTGTGGATCAGGATTTGGTACCCATTATTGAACACTGCCAAGATGACACCAACTTGGTTTTAAATGCAGGTAAGTTCATTTTATAATTTCATTACATGTTTATGAAAACTTACTGCAAAGTGATGACTTCAATTATTCATTGTTTGGAATTTTCAGTGAAGGTTCTTGTGTTCCTAACTATGCCAATTGAGCCTTCGTCAAACGACATTTTACAACAGATAGACTTTCTATGGAGGTTGAAGTCTTCAATTACGTCCAGTGACATTATTGCAGTTATAGTATCACTTCTGGAAAGCCCACTAGAAAATTTGGAAAGGTGAGGGTTAAATTTTTAAGTATACTTCATCTTCTGCCTCATCGGTTGTTTGAAAATTACATATACTTCATCTTCTATGGGAGTTGAAGTCTTTGCAGCAAAGTACTTGTCCCAGCTATCTCTTTACCTATAAGATTACCTGAGTACCTAGCTGATTCACTAAATTCATGTTGGTTTTCTGAATTTTGATGGGTTAAGTGGCTCTTGCATGTTGACATTACATAATTTATTTTTTGTTCTAGGTTATTTTCTGGTGCTCAATAATCATTATATTGTTTACTCACTTTATTTTAATATAGTTTCTAGATTTCTCATAATTGGTTTGATGACTAATCCTATCCTACACAGTGATGTGTTCACGGAGGATGACTGGAAATTGGTGCAGCTGGTACTTACTTTATTCCGAAACATTTTAGCTGTTCAGGAAATTTCACTACAGCAGAAGGCTGGGGGAACTGCCAGTCAATTTGAATCACTCAGAGATAGATTTCTGGAACTTTTGTTTCATGAGAATGTGATGGACTTAGTTTTGGTCATAACCCAGCATATTGGGGATTCCTGTAGCTATCTCTGTCAAGATAACTTGCTTTTATTGGAGATTTTTCATTACGTATTTATGGGTCAAGAGCCAGAGTTGATTGCAAACGTATGTTCAAAAGGTCCTAAGGTTGGTTTCTCTTCATCGCTTTCTGAATTCTTTCTTATAGAAATGTCGTTTGTTCAAAGCTAGCAAGAAATGTAAATAAGGATGAGTCTCAGATAAGAATCTTTGATTTGAGACATAGGTAGAGCCACCAAACGAAATTTTTTATTTATTTATAATAACAATAGTGCAACAAGTACAAATCGAATCAATAAAAAATACTTTCCTTTTCTTGCTTTATATTCTTAACTTATGAGATTTGAATTATTTGTCCGATGATGTGAGCTTACATTTAGTTATGGTTTTCTAACAGTCCAGTAATAACTTATAATTGTTAGGTGGATGGAGGAGACACCACAGGTTCTCTAAATAGTCTCAAGTCTATAATGGAAGAAGAAGAAGAAGAGAAAAAAAGACTTTCTAGACTACGCAACATGGGTCGTCATTCACATTTTAGCGGAACATTTACCCAGCTTACTTTGGTAGGGAGTTTCACTATGGAATGATGCTAGCGAGGTTTTTAGTAGATCATATTCTAATAGCAATGAACTTTTCTTGGCAGGATGGTTCTAAGGCAGTCTTGAAGGGAAAACCTACTTCTGCCTCTTGTAATACCTTGCTTAAACCACATAGTCGTAGGGGTCCAATAAAAAAGATTGCTTGGGATCATGGGACATTGCCTTCAACGAAGGATGAGATTTTAGAATTGCTTCATGATTTCGTAAACCAGTTTTTATCAGGGGGTTACAATGGTATGTCTTTTCTTTTTGGTTTCTGTTTTATGTTTGTTTACTTGGTGTTATTGCATAATTACAAAGTTCGCATGTGTATCAGTTTTGATGCAGTCAATTCGCGCGGATACTGAAAAGGAACACCACGCAATTCAGAACAGTGATGTCATTATCTTCTTTCAGGTTGCTCAGTTTGTTACTTCTTTCCAATATCACAAGTCTTCAATTTCTAAGGTGAGACAAGCTAATCTTAGATTATTATGTTAGTTATTTCATAAATGGGCATGATAATTACTGTTTGCAAAATGAAAACCGTTAAATGACTCATTTTTCAATTAGTAAACTAACCTATTTGCATGGAGAAAGACCATTATTCCCTCATCTCAATCCATCCCAACACACATCTCAACCAGTGCAGAAATGATCTTTCCCCCGAACTAAAAGGGTTTAGTTTTTGTACTTTTGATAGAATGGGTCCATGTTGCATAGTGGTTTTCTTCTGGGTCATTTCGCATTTCTTGAGGATATTCCCAAGTCACATTTCTTGTCTGGAGAATTATAATTGTTTGATCTGTATCTTCTATTCCTTATCAGCCAAGCATCGGTGCAGAAGCAGACACAACTGAAGCTCCCACCCATAAAGATGCTGATATCACATTCTTCAGAGGTGATGTATGTGGACCCATCGCAGCATCAATGAATGAGTCAATGTTCCAACTAGTCATTTCAAAGTGGCGTTATGCATTTGATGGCTTGAAGGAAACACATGACTACAAGTTTCTGTCTGCAGCTGGTTCTCTTTTGAAAATTATGGTGATTCACTATTTCATTACTGATATGCTTTTTAGTGCATATTCAATTTGAAGTTGGGATAAGAACTGTATTAATAATTATGCCCTCGTAACATGCTTCTCAACCAACTTCTCTTCCTTCCAGATTCGAATGCTAGATTTGGTGCTTAAGTTATTGCCAGAGAACTCCAAGGAGCCTCAAACGGCCCGCATACTTCTGTACAAGTTATTTTATGACCAGACTGACGAGGGGATGACTCATTTCCTGATAAATTTGCTAAAAGCATTTGATACTCACAAACAACCCAGAAGGTTTTTTCCTTTTCATATCAATTAATACGGTTTTTTTATGTATTAAATTTTCCAGTATAATTTCTCACCTTTCAAATCCTGTGGAGAGGTTCTCTCCATTAGCCGTGTAATCCAATATGAGAGAAAGAATTGGAGATAATTCAATTCTGCAGGGTATGATTTTGACTGATCATTTAGCAACACTTGTCCTCTGATTAACATTTTTTCTCTTGATTGAATGCCTTTAATCTTTGTCCTGTTCGCATGTTTTCCTTATCAGTGATCTTGCAGATCTGGTAGAGATGGTTTATAAAGTTTTACGACTAATGGAAAACCTTCAAGCATGTGGAACTTTGAGGGTATAATGCATTCGTAATTTTGGATGGGGAATATTTTATTGTATTTGTACTAAAACCATTTTTCTTTCATGATTAAGGTTTCTAAAAAATCAAGGAAGGCAAGGAAGAAAAGAATACTGAGTGAGAAGGAAACAGAAAATAAACTCATAGGAGAACATGCTACCACTCAGAAAGAGATCGGCATCTCCAATGGTGAACGTTCAACAGATGTGAGTGTGACAGCGAACAGAAGCCTAACCACAAGTTCTAATGGGAAAGAAGACATCAATATCCCTGCTCAGCCTGATGAATGCAAAATATCGTTTTTGGAGACAGAAAACCTCCAAGACAGTCTGGCACATATAGATTGCAAAACTTCTGATGATGCCAATGGTGATCTTTGTTATAGCACCGGTGATTCTTCTGCTGATGAGCAGGTAGCTGCAACTGATGAAGTTGATTTTAAGGTGTCAAATTTGATTTCTGCTTTTTCAAACAACAACATCATCCAGAAATTGTGTTGGTTGCTTAAGTTTTATAAGAGTAATTTGACCAGTACAAATCACTACATAGTATGCATGCTGCGAAGGATCAGTGATGACCTCGAGCTCTCCCCAATGCTGTATCAGGTTAAACTTCATACATCTTTAGATAATTTTTGTAGCCATTTACAGTTCATTTCTCATCTAACGTTTCCATGCAATTTGTTTTGCAGTTATCACTTCTCACTACATTCTATGACATCCTAGTTGAGCAAAAGTCATCTCCATGCAAGGCATATGAAACCATTGTTGATTTTTTGACAAATTTGGTCAGGAAAATGCTCAAAAAGATAAAAAATCAACCCCTACTTTTTGTGGAAATTCTCTTCTGGAAGACTCGCAAAGAATGCCATTACATTAATGCTGAGTATTTATTGCATGAGCTTGGCCATTTGAAGAAAGAAAGTAGAAACTGGGCAAACAGTTTAGGGGATGAAGAAATTGGTCAGTCACTGGACAAGGGATGGACAAGTAGAAGCATAGCTGATGCACTTGGTGAAGACGAAGCTGATGTTGTGCTCTCTCATGAGCTTGGACATGAGAAGTAAGACATGTTTCTGAAGCCTGAATGTTCACATTGTCCTCATTAAATTATTTTGTGATGTTATCAGTTAAGTTATTGTAGAATCTATGACCATCTTTTGGTTGTCTGGCCTTGCTCGAGAATTGTGAAGTTTATTTTATTTTATTCATTTCCACCGGTTTACCATGTTGCCAAAAAAACAAAAGGGCCAGAGTAAGGACTTTTCTAACTGAATACAGACACTGCAAGAGGAGCTAAATATGCCTTCTTTTTGTGCAGCAGTGGAGAAATTTTTGGCAAAGTGAAGGGAGGTACTGCATCTATTTCAGATAATGAGATCGATGGGCAAGAAAATTATGACAAGTACGTCCTTCATACTTACAACTTGATTAACATTGTCTTTCAGTTATCATCTTATTGAAACCTTGATGCATTTGGCTGTTGCAGTGGGGGCCAGGCAATAGAGAATGAAACTGAAAAGGTTTCTAGAAAAAACAAGCGACTTGTTATTGGGGCTGAACTGGAGATGAAAATTAAGGATCTGTATGAGAAGTATGGTCCCATGATCTAAGTTTTTTATTTGTTTTTGTATTTGTTCCTTTTCTTTTTTTAGCTTTTAACTTGACATTGGTATATCTAATATCTGCTGAAAGATACAAAAGTGCATTGGCTGTGATGACTGTTTTACACATAATTTGAGTTATGCCTGTATAGCAGTGTAGGCCTACTTTTTTCATCCAGCTTACTTAAATCTTTCCTGACAAATATGGCCAATTTAGATTCAAGGATGACCAGAACTGTAGTCATCTTATTGCTAAAGCTCTTGATCCTGATGGTAGAGTTTCGCCAGCACAAATTTCCAACAAGCTTAAACTGCTTGGACTGAAAGTTATCCGAAGGAAAAGACTGCGCCATGCTCAAGAATCTGTTTCCACTGGGCCTAGTCAAATTGATGGAGATGGAAGAGTAGTAAAAGCAGTTAATTCTCATTGTGAATCAAACAGTCAGCCGCTGTAAGTATTTGTAGATGAATATTAATTTCTTAGTATTACAGTTACAGTATGTATACTTTCTGTTTATTTTTCTGTACTTTTTAAAGTCTTTCTAGGCATTTGTATTCAAAGTAAATATTCATTTGATTTGAATATCATAGAGCACGTGCTCTTTGTTTGATTTCCCCTCTTTCCCCTCACCTAAACTCTTGTTTTTCGAGTAGCAGGGGTAGTGAACTTGCAATGCAGAATCTAATCAAACAGCTGCTGATTTCATTCACTTCTAGCCTATAATTTATGCCCATTAATTTTGTTTTTGCACTTTGGGATAGATCTTGGATGGCTGCTGTCTTTCGTTGCAGTTGTTGTCACTGTTTATTAATTGTAAATTTAAAGATTACACATTTACCGAGAAAAAAATTTGATAGATTTAGTACTCATTCTTTTGCTTCCCCCACCTCCTCCCACATTTGTTTTTGAGAAGCAGCTGTGAACTCGCAAACGTATGGCTTAGATAAATGGCTGCTGTGTCATCTGCCTTTAGTCTGTAATTTTGGTCCCCTCCTTTCTCTTTGATTCTGTGACATGTCTTAATGCTTGATGTTATATGTTGCTTCACTGCTCCAGCTGTTTATTAGTTTCAACTTGATTGTTTTATAGGCACACGAGAAAAAGAGTCTGTGCCTTCAGTGAAGATCAGGAGACTAACATTAGATCTCTATATGAGCAGTAAGTACTACTTGGTTACTTGGTAGTAATATAAGATTTGATCTCTTTTCACTTGATAGAAGCTAGAAGTTACTATTCTTTAATTTTAAAGAAAAAATTTATATTCTTTGTCATACCCAGATTTAAAGACCATAAACGGTGCAGCCACATGATTGCAAATGCAATGGACGGTGATGGTAAATTCACAGCTTCTCAAGTTTCTCGTGAGCTTAAGCAGCTTGGTTTATATATTATTCCTCGGAAGAAGAGGTCCGCAGCCGGCATGTTGAGAGATGAGGATCTTAATGACTCTAATACAAACAAAGAGCATGACTCTGATGATGAGACGCTGTTATCATTAATGAAAAGGTCATACATCCATTTTGTTTTGTTATTAAATTTATTTCACCACTAGTTCTCTACTTGCGCTGGGCACTTGCACCGCATATGTAAAACTCCATATTCCTTTTGGTTAAACCTTCCAATATAATGTTGTGAAACTCCATAATCCTATTATGGTCTGTGTTCATACTCCTAATTAAATTATAGAATAGCTTCTTTCTCTTGTAAATTCATGTTGGCTCCGTGTGTAAGTACACAACATGCATGATGTGTGGATATTAGTATGACAATAATTTTTGAACTTCCAGGGGCAAAAAGGATCATAGCAGATTCAGTGAAGAGTTACTAGAGCAGACTACTGGACGAAAAGTGTCGGAAGATGATTCTGATGATGAAATCCTAAGCTCTGTTCTCAAGTAAATCTCTCTCTCTCTCTCTCTCAAAAAGAATAAGAATGATGAAGTCATAGGATTCTGATTGTGTAAGGTAACTATTTCTTCTAATTCTAATTAATTCGTCTTTTGGATATAGGAAAACTAGGAGACCGCTTTCCAAGCCCATGGATCAAAACTCTGCAGCCATCTCAATTCAGGGAACATCAAGCAGTAATGCTTTGGAAGATGGGGTTGACGAAGGCTCTGCCTTCAAGCATGTTAGCCCGAATGGCACGGGAGAAGCTGAAGTCAGAGGCACCGGCACTGGCACTGGCATTCCATTAGATGCTGGACCTGCGAAAAATTTGGAGGATTTGCAACATGAGCAAATGGACAATGACTTGGTGGATTCAGGGGATGAAATGATTCATGGTGCATTGCCAGAGAGTGGCGTAAGCAGAAGGAAGTTGAGGATGGTACTTGAAGATGAAGATGATGACTGAGTGCATCTCTCTCTCTCTCTCTCTCTCTCTCTCTCTCTCTCTCTCTCTCTCTCCTCTCGTGCTGATGAGATTGGTGCTGATGATATCGTGACGTGTTATTATCCAAAGTTGCGAAGGAAGTCATCCATTTTTCTTGAAACTGCAATCAGGTTTTGCTTTTAAGATTATTGATGTTTGAGTGTAGTGTAGATTGTGTAAAGGGACTCGTCAGTATATGGACTCGGGGAAAAAGATTGTACAGGTTGGACAACTGTCCACAGATGAAAATTGTCTTGCTTCTATAGTTTTTAACATACAAACGATCATGCCCATGGTTTGAGACCGATCATTGGATTATCCGGATCGAAGAATTCAAAACCAAAAGTTGCAATTGTAAACCGGATCACAAAACTATCTGACCATCTCTTGCATGTTGCAACCAAATGGATGGATGAATGGCAATTTGCACATCAAATAACGGGAATTCTAACATTCATTTCTGGATGAGGATTTAAATTTGATTGTTATAGATGGACTCACGGCCCTCACCAACTGACCGAATTTATATCTGTATATACTTACCTCTTAATAAAATTGTATTGTTGTGCACATCAGTAACTAAAAAATATAATCACCCCTTTCGCATATTGTTGATTAATATCTTCATGCCCCCAGAATCGATATAATATATAACGAAAGGACGTGGGAATAATTTTTCAAAATGCTCAAGTCAAAAGTCGTCCCTTCTAAATATTATCCGATTTTAAACATCACCATCGCCGCGTTGTTTCAATTTTCAAAAAACTCCATGGTACGTTTTTTCCTGGTCATCATCACTCTTCTCAAGCTATCAAAATATTGTAATATTTGAACAGTCAACGTCCAGATAACGACAACAAATCATATCTCCTTAAAACACTCTCCTAAATTGACATACAATTTGCGCATCATCTCCCCACCCTACCTTAACTGCTCCTAAGATTCATAACCATGTTGTTCACAATCACAAGTGGTACTATAAGCTCCATATTTGCTGTCTTATTTGTGCTCCTAACAATCTCTGCTATATGTTGTTTAAGTGCTGGGATCAGCTCCAACATTAGGTGCCTAGAGACAGAGAAAAATGCTCTGCTTCAGTTCAAACAAGGCCTAGTGGACAACTCCAATGTTCTTGGATCTTGGGAAAGCGAAAAAGATTGTTGCCAGTGGAGAGGAATTACATGCAGCAACCAAACAGGTCATGTAACCATGCTGGATCTCTACTATAATTCTTCTGATATTTACAATCTTGATACTCCTTTAAGTGGTGTGATTGCTCCTCTTGCGATATCTAAATTACTTGGACCTGAGTTTCAATAATTTTGAGGGAAAGATTCCCGACTTCATTGGCTCTTTGAATCAGCTGAAACAACTCAAACTTGCAGGTGCTAGTCTTAGCGGACCTGTTCCTCCCCAACTGGGAAATCTTTCTCATTTGTATACTCTTGATCTTGCACATAACTTTGTTACTTTTGAAAATCTTGAGTGGTTATCTCATCTTTCCTCTTTGAGATACCTGAACATGTCAAGTCTTAACTTCTCTAAGGTTGTAAATTGGCCTCACTCTATAAGCAAGCTCCCTTCACTGGTTGAGCTGCAGTTGTCTTCATGTAGTCTTCCTAATGTCAACCTGAGATCGCTTTCTTTCGTCAATACTTCGACCTCTCTTGAAGTCCTTGAACTCTCTGATAATTTTCTTAATTCTTCCATTTTCTATTGGATGGCCAATATCAGCACCAGCCTTGTACACATTGGATTGATGGGAGACCAGTTACAAGGTCTCATCCCAGATGTTTTCTCAAACATGGTTTCTCTAACATCTCTTGATCTGTCTTATAACCAACTTGAGGGTGGGATACCAAAATCCTTTCGAAACCTATGCAGATTAGAATCATTGAACTTATTGGAAAACAAACTTTCTGATAAACTTCAAGACTCTATCGAAAACTTGTCTTGTGCTCAGGATACCCTTGAGTCCTTTCAATTAAGTGGCAACCCCTTTTGGGGGCCATTTCCTGATAATCTTACAAGATTTTCATCCTTGAAAGAACTATACATCGATGGTGCCAATATGAGCGGGCCTCTCCCGAAAAGTTTTGAGCAACTTTACCAATTAAGATCCTTGAGCCTAGTTTCAAACCAGTTCAGCGGGCCATTGCCAGATTTTACAGGTCTTTCATCATTAAGACAACTATTTCTTTCCAAAAATCAACTAACCGGCTCGCTACATGAGAGTATTGGGCAACTTTCTAGCCTTGAATTTTTGGATATTTCTGTGAATTCTTTGAATGGTGTCTTAACAGAAGTCCACTTCTTGAACCTCTCTCGTTTACAGTTTTTGGATGTTTCTTACAATCCTTTGTCTTTCAACTTGAGTCCGTATTGGAACCCACCTTTTCAAATTAATTCATTAGACATGAGTTCTAGCAATGTAGGCCCTGACTTTCCCAAATGGATTCAGACACAGAGAAAACTTACTGCTCTTGGTATGTCAAATGCTGGGATCTCAGGTTCAGTACCTGATGAGTTTTGGGATCTATCTTCCAACTTACTTGAATTAAATCTCTCTATGAACCAAATCCATGGGAAGTTTCCCAATCTATCATCAAAGAACTGCACCTTTTTCACAATTGACTTGACATCTAATCAGTTTTCTGGTCCACTCCCACCATTTCCTTCAAACATAAGCAATGTTTTCCTCTCCAAAAACATGTTTTCCGGACCCCTATCTTCCTTATGTGCAACACAAGCTCCAAAATTTTATAATCTCGACCTTTCTGAGAACCTACTGTCAGGGGAGCTTCCTGATTGTTGGATGCAATATCAAGCATTACACTCACTGAATTTGGCAAAGAATAATTTTTCCGGAAATGTACCGAGCTCATTAGGGCAGTTAACGTATGTTGTGTTGTTACGCTTGCATGATAACAATCTTTCAGGAGAACTGCCTCCTTCTTTAAAGAACTGTACAGAATTAAGGGTTGTTGACCTTGGAGCCAATAAATTATCTGGAAACATACCAGCATGGATAGGCCCCAGCCTAACAAACTTGCTGGTTCTACGCTTACGGTCTAATGAGTTCTATGGAAGCATACCCTTGAGTCTATGTAGTCTTCCCGCTCTTCATGTTTTAGACCTCTCTCAGAATAATATATCTGGAGCCTTGCCACATTGCCTTCCTAATATAACAGCTTTGTCTTCTGTGTCTACGAAGGTGGAGGACAATTGGATTCTTGGATTTGTACAACTGGTGTGGAAAGGGATAGAGATTGAATTTGGAGAAAATCTTAAGCATTTGAGAAGCATCGACATCTCAAACAATAACTTAAATGGGGACATTCCACAAAGTATAACAAGTTTGCTGAAGTTGATTTCTCTGAACCTATCAAGAAATGGTTTTACAGGGGTGCTTCCCAGCAACTTTGGTCAGTTGGAGATGTTAGAATCTCTTGACTTGTCAAGAAACCAGATATCTGGTAGAATCCCTCCAAGTTTTTCAAGCTTACATTATCTTAGTGTCCTGGACTTGTCACACAACAACTTATCAGAAAGAATTCCACTAAGCACCCAACTTCAAACTTTTAATGCTTCTGCATTTGTGGGAAATCTTGGACTCTGCGGGCCACCACTCACGCCAGAATGCCCAGGGGATGGAGCAACTCAAGATCCTGCAGTCCCCAATGGAGATGGAGGTGATAAGACCAAACAAGAAGATGATGGTCTCATAAGCTTCGGATTTTATGTCAGCATGGTGCTTGGATTGATCATAGGATTCTGGGGAGTCTGTGGTACTTTACTGCTTAAGAGTTCTTGGAGATACGCCTATTTCCGTTACTTGGATAATATAAAAGATCGGATTATGTGACAACCGCCATGCACAAGGCAAAGTTGCAGAGGAGACTTCAAAGATAAATGGTGAAGCTATTTCTTTTATTTTAGTGTTATGTTTTTGTGGGTTCTTTCAATATCTGATCTTCCTTGATAATACAGGGGTTCCTCCTTTGAAACTCATTTTGTTTTAACATGATTTTATTCCACAGAAGCTGCTGGCGTGAGGCATAAGCTTTTCTCCAGAAGCTGAAGTTTGAGTGCCAACGTGGAAGCCTCAACTATTTCAACCATGATGTAATATTAAATGTCATAAACTATGATGCTTGTTTGTCTTAAGGATTTTGTATAATGGGCTGCTCTTTTCTGCTGCAGCTGGATATCATATATATAACATATGCTAAGATTTTGACCACCAAAAAAGGAAAAAAAAAAAAAAAAAAAAAAAAATCTTTGATTTACAAATCTCAGAGCATCTCCCCCCCCAAAGGCCCAAGCCAAAGGAAGG